GACAACTCACTGCATTTAGTTTTATTTGACAACTCACTGCTCGAATATGAAGGGATTGCATTGTGATTCTCTGGCCTACAATCCGAGCATTTTTATCTGACAACCACGTCCGTGACTACATCATAGGTACAATATATTTTTCTACCCATTGTGCAAACCACTTTTTCTACAATATTTTTTACTTTTATGTATTTATTAATTTGTTATTTTTTAACAAATTTTTTTACTTTTTAGGTGTATTGTAATGGTTATTAATTTATTGTTATTTTGTTCTGACACCCCCTCAAAATTTGTATGAATTGCATAATTCCAATGGGCATAGTAGGTAGGTATGTGGCTTTGTGCAGTGATGCATGTGACTTTGTGCAGTGACGCAGTGATGCATGTCACTTTATGCAGTGATGCAGTAATGCATCTGACTTTCTGACTTTGCGATGCTTCCTCAGATTACGTGATGCATGTGACTTTCTGTAGCGCAACTTACATGCTTTGTTTTTTCCACACATTTCAGAAGTCATCTAAGTCACATTAAAACGACTGTGAAAAGAAACAGAAAATGCTATTATGTTGGTGAAAAAAAACATGATGGATGGTTGTATAACAACAATGAAAATAGGATGACTGGGAAGGGGACGTGGCGATGCTGAAGATGAAACACCATTTCCTTTGTTAGATGCCTCTTGTGCTTATCATGATAGGTTTGGGAAGCGACATTTTGTCATGCCCAAGTACTATCGAGATCCATGTGGTTTGGTGGAGCAACCATCAGATAATCAAACAGGATATGGTTATGCAAACGCTAGACTTCTGAAGTGGCCCGCACTATTTATAGAGCGAGTGCAAATGGAAAGATTATGTCGGGAAAGATGACTGAATGTGCCAAAAGCACGTTCTGTTGAGATCCAAAAGCAAGATCCTTATAATGTTGATCGACTATGTCAAAGACTACAACGTGAGATTTCTCAAATAGGCCGTAGGTTGGCCCGCGATATGCAGCTACTCATAGTTAAGAAGGATGCCCAGAAGAACAAAACAGAAGCAAATGTTGCGGCTATCAAGGGTATCATAGAGGATCCTGAACTTGTCTCTGACGCTGAGCTTTCGGATTGTTCAGACTCTGAGCCACCTGCCGATTTAAGCGCGAATTAGGTGTTAATGTCTACACTTCGGCAATATAACAACTTGCATTAATATGTAATGTCTGTGTTAGAGTAAGTATAACTGTTATGTTATGTTATGTTTATGTTTAAGTTTATGTTTATGTATTGTGTCTGTCAAATGTTACGGCTATTAATATGCAATATTAGGTCATGAATTAGGTGTTTCTCTATCTAACTGTTATGTTTATGTATTGTGTGTTCAGTTAAGAGTGTCCAGGATGTATGTAATGTGTGTTCAGTTCATGGTGTCCAGAATATATTTTTGTGGGAGAATTATGTCTGTACTACCTACGTAACTGAAAACTATTACATTTGCAACTTCAGTTATGTTGTTTTCATACCCGTAAGAGTATTTTGTAAAGTACTGACTTCGTATATTATGTATTAAGTATTATTACAAAAATGTTGAGAAAATTTATTTTAGGAGCTCTCGCTGTGGCCTTTGTCTTCTTGGCCTACTCCGCGGTGGTCTTCGCATCTCACCCTTCGTCGTTGCTCGTCGAGTTGCACAATGTGTGGGTGTGCTTCGAACTGTACAGCATGCATATCACATTCTAACCCATAACAAAGACGAAACAAAAAAAATAAATTTTCTAAATGAAAACGGGTACAAAACGGCTTTACTAAACTGGTTTACTAAACTGGTTTTCTAAATTACATTCTCACCTTCTAACCCAAAACAAAGACAAAAGAATAAATATATGTGTATGCTTAAATGAAAACGGCTTTCGTAAAGCCAAAATAATTTTCTAAATAACACCTTCTAACCCAAAACAAAGACAAAAGAAAAAAAAATTTACATGAAAACGACTTTAGTAAAGCCAAAAAAAAATTATTAATTACATTATCACCTTCTAACTCAAAACAAACACAAAACAATAAACAAAAAAAAAAATTACATGAAAACAACTTCAGTAAGACGAAAAAAAATTATTAATTACATTTTCTAAATCAAAACAAAGACAAAAGAAAAAATAAAAAATTTAACATGAGAATGGCTTCAGTAAAGCCAAATAAATGAACATGATTGGCTTAATAATATCTAAATGAATATGATTTTAAAATTATATATATGAAAAATAGTATGTAAAATTAATATATGAAAAGAGATTTTTCTCATATTATGTAAAATTTATGAATTACACATTGTAAACCTGTGTTCAAAAACAAAAGAAAAAAAAAACATATTTTAACATGACAATAGCTTTAGTAAAGCCAATTTCAATTTTATGAATCATATTATCACCAAAACAATGACAACAGACAAAAAAAATAAAAAAATAAAAAAATAATCTGCTAATGAGGAAAGAAATGAAAGTTGGGTGCGGTGTACAGTGTAACCGCTATTGGAAATAGCGTTTTCTTCAGAACTGTACTGCGCACTAAAGGCGCTATTCCGAATAGCGTTTTCGTCACATATACAGTGAAGGCGCTATTTGGAATAGCGTTTTCTTCACAAACGTGCATTCCGAAATGAAGCTATATTCAGAATAGCGTTTTATTTAGAAGCGCTATTTTAAACAACGTTTTCTTAATCAAACTCGCGAATTGGAATAGCGATTACACTGTTCATCAAATTTCGACCTCCTCACAGTAAAAGCGCGAATCGGAATGGCGCTTCAGCTTAGTTTGAGAATTTCGTCAGAAGTTGGCCTAGTTTGGGAAATAAAATGCAAAAGAGGCTTATTTTGGGAAAAGCCCCGGAATAATCGGAAAGGTTCTTCAGGGTATTGCAACTGTGCCTAAAGGTATGAATCGTTGGTGGAGGGAGAGAAAGGAGAATGGTTTTAAGAGTGGACCATCAAATGATTCATTTTGGGAACCACTTCTAGATAGTGTCACCGGACGACTCCGCCGCTTCTCACTAGCTGATATTCGAGCAGCCACAAATGATTTCAGTGAGGATCGTTTGTTCAGAGAAGGTGGGCTTTGCAAGGTGTACAAAGGGTATTTGGATGGGGAAACTGGTATTGTTGTGATCAAAAGGTTTGAGGAGTTGGAATCAATGCATCTCTGGGAACAGGGCCTTTTCCCAAACTAAGCCTCTTTTGCCTCCTATTTCCCAAACTAGGCCTAGTTTTGACGGATTTTCCAAACTAAGCTAAAGCACTATTACAAATCGCGTTTTTACTGTTTGGAGGTTAAAATTTGATGAATAGTGAAATCGCTATTTGAAATTGCGATTTTAATTAAGAAAACGCTGTTTCAAATCGCGCTTTTAATATAAATTTTTTTTTTTGAAGAAAACCCTATTTAAAATAGCGCTTTCACTGTACATATAATTTAATTTTTATTTTATTTATTTAGAAAACGCGATTTCAAATCGCGTTTCTACTGTTGACAACAAAACCAACCCACACTCTGGCCCACACATACCCACACCACTCAAACATTGAAATAATATAATTTATATATATATAACAATAATAATTTATAATAATCAATTATATAATTTTTATAATTTTCATAAATATAAATCGTTTTTATGTTATGGATGGTTTGATTTATAATACGTATGTAAGGATAAAAATTTTTATAATCAAAAATAATTTTTGCAATTTTTATAATCAAAAATAATTTATAATACGTATGTATTATTTAAATCTTTACATTTTTTATTTAAAATTTTTCACAGTAAACCCATCTTCACATTTTATAATACGTATGTATTATTCAAAAATAATTTATAAAAATTTATAATTAATACGTATGTAAATAATTTAATACGTATCTTCACATTTACATTTACAGTAAACCCATCTTCACATTTACATACGTATGGTTTAAAGGTAAATTTTTTTATAAATGACTTAAATGATAAATCAAACCATCCATAACCTAAAATTTTTTACCCTTACATACGTATGAAAAGGCAGTGAAAGGTCAAGTATTGGCCAAAACAATCAATGATTGAAATAATATAATTTTTATATATAATAATAATTTATAATAATTAATTATATAATTTTTATAATTTTCGTAAATATAAATCATTTTTAGGTTATGGATAGTTTGATTTATAATACGTATGTAAGGGTAAAAATTTTTATAATCAAAATTAATTTATGCAATTTTTATAATAAAAAATAATTTATAAATTATCAAAAATAATTTATAATTGCAATTTTTGATAATTTATAATACATACGTATTATAAATTATTTTTGATAATTTATAAATTATTTTTTATTATAAAAATTGCATAAATTAATTTTGATTATAAAAATTTTTACCCTTACATACGTATTATAAATCAAACTATCCATAACCTAAAAATGATTTATATTTACGAAAATTATAAAAATTATATTATTTCCCTGAGCTGAAGAAATTATCAATTGAAGTCCACTTAGAAAGTATTCTTCGGGATGGAGAATTAAAATTATATTATTTCAATGCTTGAGTGTTGTGGGTGTGTGTGTCAAAGTGTGGGTTGGTTTTGGTGTCAACAGTAGAAACGTGATTTGAAATCGCGCTTTCTAAAAAAAAAAAAATTAAATTATATGCACAGTGAAAGCGGTATTTTAAATAGCGTTTTCTTCAGAAAAATTTTTTATGTTAAAAGCGCGATTTGAAACATCGTTTTCTTAATTAAAATCGCAATTTCAAATAGCGATTTCACTATTCATCAAATTTTGGCCTCCAAAGAGTAAAAGCGCGATTTGTTTTTTTTTTTTTTGATCAGCAAAGAAAAATTTCATTAACGGCATGAAATTAAGAGTACAGGAAGATGAAGTGCACCGAGAGAGATTCGAAAAGTACAAACTACCCCTACTACTGCTACTCGCACCCAAACAACCAACCCCTCCGCCTCTCACATTTTTTAAAAGATAAAAAAAAAAACAAAGGATAACAAGTACTTAACCTTACACAAACCTTGAACCACTACTACTGCTTCTGCACTGTCTAGCGACAAAACTCTTACGATTCAGAAACAACTCTTACGATACAAGTAACCAACACCCAACTCAACCTAATACACCCAAGGACCCTCACCCAACCGAAACACCCAAGTGACATAACTGCTACTCCGAACCAAACTCCTCACACCCACCGCAGAAGCTCCAATGTTAACACCCCGTACACCGAAAAAAGTTCCTCTTGAAACAGCCCAGTTAACACCCCGTAAAAGCGCGATTTGTAATAGCGCTTTAGCTTAGTTTGGGAAATCCGTCAAAAGTAAGCCTAGTTTGAGAAATAAGATGCAAAAGCGGCTTAGTTTGGGAAAAGCCTCTAAACTTTGTGGTGTTATTTGCCCAATCAATGAGGGATCAATGATTCGATCAACCTTTCCCTTTTTAATGTGTCGTTGAGCCCAAAGGATTAAACTAATTTCCTCCTCCTCGAGTCTTTTATCCACTGGCGGCCTCCCACAGAGCACTTCCAACAACACCACACCAACGGCATACACATCAGATTTATTGGTTAGTTTCTGGGTATAGAAATAATCCGGATCGAAATATCCAAATGTACCTTTAACTCTCGTACTAACGTGGGTTGCTGAATGGCTCGCAGTGATCTTAGATAGCCCAAAATCTGAAATCTTGGCTACCCATTTCCCATTTGACAGAATATTTGTGGTCTTCACATCTCGGTGTATGAAATTTTGATCGGTACCAGTATGAAGGTAGTCTAACCCTCGTGCTGCACCGATGCAAATGTTGAGCCTTTGCTCCCATGTGAGATGAAAGTAGTAATTTCAGTTTGGTTTCTACTTGTTTTATAGAGATGATCGGCTAGGGTCCCACGAGCCATGTATTCGTAAACAAGGATCATTTCTTGGCAGTCGCTGCATAGGCCGATCAGAGCAACAAGATGAATGTGTCGGAGCTTAGACAACATCTTGACCTCATTCCAGAACTCCTCTGCGCCTTGATTGGAATCTGCTTTCAACCTCTTTATGGCAACAGGTGTAGCACCGTTGTCGATGAACCCCTTATATACCTTACCAAATCCGCCAATCCTAATAACTAATTCTTCATTAAAATTGTTGGTCATGGATTGTATCTCAGCTAGTGAAAAGCAACGGCATGAGTACTCAGATTCAATCACAACGCTTGAAATTGCATAATCAGCACTTGAACTAGACATATCTTTGATATTTGGGAGCCTAAATATATGAAAGAATACACCAGTAACCCTAGAAGATGACAAAAAAAGATGAGCTTTTGAGAGATGAGAAAGAAACAAAGGGGGGTCTCTGATTGAAACAGGAGTTAATCTAAGTAGTGGTCAATATAGCACGCCGACGACTTTGAACAATCGGCGTGGTGTGATTTTAATGTGGACCTGGACCCCATCAACAACCTTACAGAGTGATTATGGGGCCTTGTGAAACCGTGTTAGCCATCACAATTGGGCACTGCCACAGGAAGAAAGGAAGGGATAGAGATGGTCACTATCTTTCTCATCATTTTTTAATATTTTTCATTTCTTTTTCCATAAGCTTCATGGAACTGAAAAAGAACGGTAGCGATGAGGATATGTGAGAGAAGAAACCATACTCTTTTTTTCTTTTTCTTTTTTCTTTTTTATTCAAGAAGAAACCTTACTTTAGTTTACCTATGGAGAGAATCTGAAAGGCTTCATAATCATTTATTAATTAAAGAACTTATGGATTGCAACATTACAATTAAAAAGATCAAATTCTGTTTTTAATGTCTATTATTATTTTCTAAATAATCAACATAAATGTAGTGAATCCCACTATCAAAGCTAGAAGTGTTCGTGGTTCAGATTTGGACAGTTTGCGGATCCGTTTGGACCCGGCTGCACCTATGCGGTTTGAGAAAAAGACAACCCGCAACCGCCCGCAGTGTGGTTTGCGTTTTGTGCAGATAGAGTTCGCAGATGTGCGGCGGTTTGCGGATTGGATTTTTTTTTTCAAAAATTTATTTTTGAGCCTTATTTTTTCCTATTTTATAAATATTTATTTTGGGCCATTTTCTCCCCATTTTCTAAAATGCTCCAACATTAATAATTAATTAATTAAAACTTATAAAATTAAAAACACAACAAAATTAATTCATAACACAAACAAATCATTCAAAATCTCAAATCAAATCATAAACTAACACAAGCACATATTTTAAAATTTTAAACTAGAACTCCACATTCATTAAGGAATTTAAAAATTCCAAATCACACTTCATCTCGGACAAGTTCAATTATGTAACAATAATAATATGATCAATATTTATTCAGTTTCAATTGATATAATACTATTAGCAAATGTAATGCTAGAGTAAGGCTTGGTTTGGCATCTCTCTAAAAAGTTAAAAAGTCACTATCTTATTTAAGTCACATCATCCTATTTAAGTCACATCACCTCTCTACCACATCACTTCAAATCCAACCCATATTTCATAAAAAGTCAAAAAGTGTACTTATTTAGATCATCTCAAACCACCCTTAAGTTCAAAGAATAAAGGGTGTTTTGTTTTGGGCAAAAATATCTAGGTAGGATATAGAAATGAAATCAACGGTTAAGAAAAAAAAAAAAAAATGCGGCGCGGGTTCTTGCGGGTGCAGGTTAAACCTGCAATCCGCAAACATGTCATATTTCAAACCGCACCCGCCCGCATTGTGTTTGCGAAACCACCCATTTGTATGCGGATTAGACGGGTTGGGCGGTTTTTGCGGATCGGATAAACCGTTGCCCACCCCTATAAAGCCAATCACAATAGTAAAAGGTATCATATGGCATATACCCTATCCACATGCAAAAAATTTCTCATTTTAATGAGAGATATAGAACATAAGAAGGAAGAATAAGTTTTATCTTGTTGGGGGCTTTTGAAAGAGACTAGCTTCAATGTTCCTCCACATAATCGTGTAGCGGTGATGCTATATGTACCAATTACTATACTAACTAATGTATCAATACTAGTTATGACATTATTATTGACTTCACTCATTATATAAGTTATAAATACCAAATATCTCTTAAATTATGTCACATTATCAATTACTATACTTTTGTGGTTTTTTTTTTTTTTGGTAAAATAGTCACAAAAAATAAAATAGGTTTTTTAGTTTAATAAGACAAAACATCACATTTCACCAATAATCATTACATTCTTTCTCTCACAAAAAAATTAAAAAAGTCAAAAAAAACCAGAAGTCTTTCTTAAACCAAGTTTTTTAGCCTCAAGTTAAAATAATCAAAAAAGTCAAAAAAATCAAATAGCTAACACACTTCCCAAACCAAGCCATTATTTAGAGCTATTTTGGCAACACAAAAAATAAATAATTTATTGATTTATTTAAATCACATTACTTTTTTATTTTTTTATATATTTTTTCGTAATGAGTAAAAAAAAGTCAAAAAGTAATCATACCCAAACCAACTCTTAATTGCTAAGGGTTCTATTATTGGGAAGAGGTGACAATAAAGTAATTTTTATGAATTCTTAATCCTGACATGAATGGTCTACTTTTAGTCAGATTGAGAAGGTGATTAAACAAATTACAAGTAAGTTGGTCCGAACACTTTGACTGCTAAACTATATATAGACACTAGTAATGTATGCCCGTGCAAGGCACGTGCTATTTACATAGAATATTAAAATTTTAAGTAAATTAAAACTATATTTCTTGAGATTTATTTAAAATATAAATTTTTTTTATAATTGCAGAAATTACATCTCATTGTTTCAAGTTTTAAATTTGCATAACAAATTATCTATTTTGTTAATAAATCATCTATTTTGTTAATAAATCGTTAAGTTAATTAACAGTTTTTAATAATATCATAAATATATTTTAATTAACAATTCAAGTATTTTTATTATTATATAGAAGAGTCGTTAGGATTTTTTTTTTATTTTAGTTGATTTATGTTACTTATTTTGACTTTTTCAAAATTTTTTTATAGAATTTTGCAAAATAGTTTTACTTTTTATATTCATCTACACAATATGGACTTGAATGATATTATCTATTTATTTTTTTATATTTTTTTTGTAATAAATAAAAAAAGTCAAAAAAATAAGTCATACTAAAACCAACTCTTAATTACTAAGGGTTCAATTATTGGGGCGAGATGACAATAAAGTAACTTTTATGAATTCCCAATCCCGACGTGAATGAGCTACTTTTAGTCAGATTGAGAATGTCAGTAATAAAATTACAAGTAAGTTGATACAAACACTTTAACTGCTAAACTTATATATATATACACACACTAGTAAAGTATGCCCGTGCAAGGCAGGGCTATTTACATAAAAATTTTGAATTTTAAGTAAATTAAAAATATATTTCTTGAAATTTGTTTAAAATATATATTATTTTTAGCAATTGTCAAAATTACATCTCGCCCTTTCAAGTTTTTAATTACACAACAAATTATCCATTTTGTTAATAAATCGTTAAGTTAATTAACAATTTTTAATAATATCATAAATATATTTTAATTAACAATTCAAGTAGTTTTATTATTGTACAGGAGAGTCGTTAGGATTTTTTTATTATGTCAAATAAAAAATTATACCAAGAAAATATTGTAATTTTCAAAATTATAGGAGATAATCCATATTTTAAGTAAATATCGTAAAAGGTGTATTTGTAATTTACCCTTGAATTTTTTTAAATTATAATTTTGTAATTTTGATTTTTTTGTAGAGGTTAAAAAATAATAATTTCATTCCATTTCATCTAATTCAATGACACTTCACCTTCATTCCAATTTGTCACATATTACTCAAGATTATTCTTTAGACTTAAATGGGGAAAAAAGATTGACATTCGATTTGTTTCGATAGATGCATAAAATAGTTTTTGAAAATATTTTTCGTAAAAAAATTTTTTTTTTTGATTAATTGCAACCTTAAAACTAATACATTAATAGTTATATTAGTGCCAATGGTAATGGTAGTGGAGATAGTGGTGGTTGGCCTACTTGGGTTGTTTGGGGGTGGTGTAATGGTGCTCAAAGTTAAAAAAGAAGAAGAAGCAAAAAAAACAAAAAAACTAAAATCACACCAATAGTTATGTGTTATTTTGACACCTTAGATCTATTTCTCGAAAAAAATAAATTCAATGATCATGATTGTCACTACTGAAGTGACAAATTTGACACAAAATTTGACTTTAACAAATTTTAGTTTGAAAATTTGACACATAATTGAATTTTTTATTTTTATTTTATTTTATTTTACATTTTATGAGGGTATAATTAAAATTGACTTTAGGCCAACCATTTGAGACATCATTAGAGAAATTCTAACGTCATTTGCTATGCTATTGGAAGAATCTCTTACAATTTAAACAAAATTATAAACTTTCGTATGTCAATAAGTAAAATCGAGACGAAAATATTCATGTTATTTGATATAATTTTTTTTTAGGAATGTAATAACGGTTATTATTTGTACTTCAATTTTTTTTTTAATTTTTTAAAAACCTTTTATAGGTCCTTACCATTAAAATAATGAAAATAAAAAATAAAAATTGACATCTTCTTTTTGCTATGCCAAATTTGGTATTGAAATATACCAATTAGCAACTCAATTTTGTACGTTTGAAAGGGCCACAATTATGTTAGCCCCAAGGTTATTTAAATTTAAATTCTTATTGATTTTGATTATTGACAAATATTTTGAATTATTTTTGTTATTCAAAGTTTTGAAAATAATAGTATACAAATTGTGCTTCAATGGCTCTAGAAATTATATGATTCTAAAGTGTTGTTTTTCAATGATTTTTTGCCCTTTAAAACATGAGATTAACACTTGGTTGCCAAACTCTATCCATGCTTAAAATAGGTCCAAGGGTCGACACTAGAATGAAGATCACAATGCCTAAGTGTTCCAGCTGCAAGGGACGACACTAATATGCAATCCAGCAGTAAGGGTCGACACTAAATTTCAGAATGCAATCCAGCAGCAAGGGTCGATACAAAGAATGATAAGGGTCGACACCAAGAACACCTAGAACTCAACTCAAAGAAGAGAAAAGAGCAAAGGGTTGACACCCAATCTGCAGGGGTCGACAGCCAATCTGCAGAGGTCGACACCCATAAAATCTAGGTTTTGTGAGACCATGAAATATCCTCTTATATGGATTGTCGAAATCCAACGAAGAGATGAACTTTATCCTTGTGTATTTGCAAAGATGAGCATGATCAGCGCTACCCAACCGGGGTTGCCGGCCGGAGATACTTCGATGGTAAAGTTAGTCCTTTGATTGAAAGAATGAATGTATAGAAATGAAGAGTGTTT